AGCCCATTGGCGCACTTCATTTGCTGTGAAGTGAGTCCCTTGATCTGAAGCAATGCTGTGTGGGATACCATGATGGTGGATAAGGCCTTCTGTAAGTCCATGGATGATAGTTTTGGCAGAAGCATTGCGTGCAGGGAAGGCGAATCCATATCCAGAATAAGTAACTATTCCAGTAAGAATAAAATGCTATCCTTTCCATGATGGAAGTGGTCCAATGTAATAAACCTACCACCACGTTGCTAGCTGATTACCTCAAGGAATGGTTCCGTATTGCGGACTCAATGTTGGTCTCTGCTGCTGGCAGATTGGGCACTCAGCACTAGCAGTAGCCAAATCAGCTTTGGTAAGTGGGAGTCCAGGTTGCTGAGCCCATGCATAACCTCCATCCCTGCCACCATGGCTACTTTGTTCATGAGCCCACTGAGCAATGACCGGAGTATCAGGGGAAAAAAGATGGCTGGTTTCCACTGAACGTGGCATCCTATCCACCTGATTGTTAAAGTCCTCCTCTGCCAAGGTCACCTTTTGGTGGGCATTCACATGAGACACAAGTATCTTTATCTTTACTCCTTTGGCCCATTCAGAGAGATCTATCCACGTACCTCTTCCCCATATATCCTTGTCACCAATTTTTCAATCATGCTCCTTCCAAGTGCCAGACCATCCAGCCAAGCTATTAGCTACAGCCCATGAATCCATATACAATTGCACATCTGGCCATTTCTTATTCCATGGAAAGTGAACAGCCAGATACACTGCTCGAAGTTCTGCCCATTGGAGGCCCACTTCGAGTGGTGCCTGCATATCGCACAGAACCATCTGTAAACCAGGCATGAGTTTTCTCTTCCTCACTCAACTGATCATAAGGAACTCCCAATGAAGCCATAGGTGCAGACTGGGAGAGGGAAGGTAATGTGACTGGAGTGGAGACCATAGGCATTTGGGCCACTTTCTCATACAACTTACTTGTGCTTTCAGATCCTGCTCAAGCCCGATCTCTGATGTAACACTTTGTCTAGTGTAAGTAGCCAACCAACTAGCTTCCTTATACTCCTCATGCTGACAAAATTGCAGAAAAGTATCAAATATCCGATCACCCAGAGTCTCACGTCTCACAAGCACTTGATCTACTGGTGGTGCTATTTTGCATATAAATGTTGCCACCTCACGCCATGGATTAGCAGGGCCCTCTTTACTAATGGAGGCAGGATCATCAGTGCCTTTACGATTAATCAAATTGGAGAGCCAATTTAGGAAGCCCATCCTTATGTCTCTCTAGAACCATTCCTGGTACCAAATGTGTTAGACTGGGTTCTCTAGAAAAGCAAAACCAGTAGAGCTTATACAGAGAGAGAGAGAAAGAAATTTATCTTAGAAAAATGGCTCACACACTTATAGAAGCTGGCAAGTCCAAAGTTCTTGGATCAAACGTCAAGCTGGAGGCTTTTCCTGACTTGTGCTCCTGCAGGGGCTGAGGAGCTCAAGGTTGGCAGGCAGTATACTGGCTGCTGACTTCAATTAATGACGAATCCAAGATCTCCAGGCTGAATGGTGGATTGTTCTCTCACTGACAGTTGTAGGCAGCACGACAGAATCCTAATCCACAGAAGAGTGTCTCTTTTCCCAGGATGTCCACAAATATACTGGAAGCAGACCACACCATTAGGGAAACTCCCTTTCAATGGAATGGCTGCTCCGAACATATACATCTGATCCCATCATTGGAACAACCCACATCACAATTGCTTAAACCACATAGAATTGTGGTCCAGCCAAGTTGACACACAGCTCCAACTATCACAAGCAGCATAGGGACTGAGACTATGATAACCTTTTGTATCTACTATGCTCATTTAATATAGAGTTTAGAGAACAAGCCTGCTGTTCAAGTTTAAGGCCCTTTGTACCCAGTGCCCAACAGCATAACTCCAGTAGAGGCAAGAAGTTACTCTCACAGATCTAAACTGAATGTTCCTGCCCCATCTCTACTTGCATTATGTGAAAGAAACATGGAATAGCTCATTAAATGTCATTGGATCAAGGTACATGAAATCATCTCAGAATCACTCTCAGGTGAAACTCACATATTCAACAAAACCACTGGCTGTGTGGCTAATTGCCTCCATGGACAACTGACTCCTTTGCCATGAGACCAGAACTAGATGGTTTCCGGCTGCCATTACTGAATGTTTTGATCAAAGAGTCTATAGAAGAATCATGATCAAAAGAGGAAAATGCAGAACAGAATTTCAAATTTCCATGGAGCCATGGAGGGTAGATGAACCACTGCAGTTTTTGTCCTGAGAATTTTTAAACCTTAAAATATCCCCTAAAGTTTCTTAAAAGGAGCTCTGATGGTACAGTAATTAAGGCATTTGGCTGCTATCAAGTTTAGTCATTCAAACCCCTCAGCTGCTCTATGGAGGAAAGATGAGGTGGTCTGTTTAAGTAAATATTTATAGCCTTGGAAACCCGGTTGGGGTTGCTATGAGTCGGAACTGACTCAAGGGCAGGGAGTTTGGAATTTTGGAAAGTCTTCTTAAAACTAAACAAAAGTTTAGCTTAACTAGTAAAAATAGTGAGTACGGAACGGTAAATCATTAACTAGAGGGCAGACAAAAAATAAATAAATAAAGGTCTGCCTTGAAATTATGCTTTTAAGAACTACTTATATGGGATCATATTGACAACAGCAACTTGAAAGATCAGATGGGGAAGTGAGTTTATGTAATGGAGAAGAAACAACGCAGAAAAGGAGGGTGAGGATGGCTGCACAACTCGAAGGATGTAATCAATGTCACTAAATTGTACATATAGAAACTGTTGAACTGGTGTACGTTTTGCTGTGTATATTCTCAACAATGATAAAATAAATAAAATTTAAAGGAAAAAGAAAACCCTAAAAACTCACTAGCTGACTCAATGGCAGCAAGGAACCTAAATATCAAGATTGGATGGTCATGGTAAAGCCCTCTCTCAAGTCTGCTACAGTCAGGGACGATTGCCCTCCTGTGGTCCCTTCTGAGGATACCCTTCTCAACCATGAAGGGAAACATTAAATCTAACTCCTTAGTATACCTAAACACCTAAGGGTCTCTTCATTCATTCTTCATTTCTCTTTCCAGCAGACCTTATACACTCATTAATAAGAAAAGCATCATCTGTGGCAGAAAAGCTGAAGGCAAAATAATCTCCTAGTAGTGTCTACTTTTGTTATTTCCCTGATAAAACATCATGGGGCCATTGCAGCTACCTGTGCTTTCCTCATTCTCATTTCAAGACACTCCCGTGTGCTCAGAGCCATACGAAAACAGAAGGAAATGAGCCCACTCCCAGTGTCTTCAAGGTGTCCAATCCAAATGGGCGATTTAAATCCTGGCCTAAGTTGTGCTATGGAAGAGCCAATGCTCTTCCACACAGAGGAGAGGGCATCCCTTCCACTGGGGCCTCCACAGAGCAGGCAGGAGAACAGGTCACTAATTTTTAGATGTTTTGAATAATTAGGTAAGAGGCCCTACATAACTTCTAATAGGAGTCCAAGTAGCACAATGGTTAAGCACTTGCCTGCTACTCTGTAAGGCTGGTGGTTCAGACTCAACAACCACTCTGGGAGAAAGAGGTGGAAGTCTGCTTCCATGAAGATTACAGCCTTGGAAACCCTATGAGGCAGTCCTAATCTGTCCTAATGGGTTGCTGTGAGTCAGAATCAATTTGATAGCAGCAACAAGTTTGGGTTTTCGAATCCAACTTCCAAAAACAAGAAGTAGCCCACCAGAAAGCGCCAAGAATTACTGTGTAAATCAACAGACTTTTCTTTTTTCTTTTTTTCCTATCATGTTTCAAAACTTACTAATAGTGAGATGCTGCAAGTCGTCTCAGAAGAGAGTAACCTTTCAGACCACACCTGTCTCTGTCAGCACTGTGATTACAGGACTTCTCACAGTATTGTGTAATGAATGTTTTTATTTGTCAGTTTTCCATGCTGGCAAATAAGCTCTCTAAAGGTAGGAATTTTTCATTTTCTCCTCTGTACCAGGATCTAGCAGAATGCCTGGCACACAGCAGGTATTCAAAAGATGCTAAATGAATCAATGAGGCTCAGAGAACTGTTGGGTGCATCTGGGTTCTGAGAATGTGTTGCCTCATTGGCAACTCTTTACCCAGAACCATCTACCAATATCTACCATTTAGATCAATTATTACAAAGAAGAAAATGGTGATTTGAAAGGTCACTTAAAAGTTACTCTGCTGAGAACAATGTGGAACAAAGCTCAAAAATTAAAAAAAAAAAAAAAAAAAAAAAAAACCATCAAAATGAGAGTTTGAATTTGAATGATTTGAGAGCAAAGAATGAAAAAAAAAGGACCAGATTTTCTGGTCAGAGCCTGGTAAAACCCCTGAGACTATGGCACCTAGCTGCCCTTCAGGTTTGGAACTGAACTCACTCCAAGGGCTTCCAGCCAAACAAAAGAAGGTATATGAGCTGAACATTGACATTAGGTAGACACACTCCTTGGAGAGATCAATCATGGAAGAATAGAAGGGCTGTTTATGTACAGGGAGACAGCTGAGGGGGCAGGAGTGCATAGTGCATGGGAAGAAAGGACACAGGGAAGAGGTAATTATGGGGAGGAAGTGAGCGGGGAGCTGTTGCATTGTGGGAAATTGTAGTCAATGTCATGAGACAAAGTGTATGTGAACTGCTGTATGAAAAATGAATTTGCTCTGTAAACTTTCACCCAAATCACAATAAAAATAATAAAAAAAAAAAAGTTACTTTGCTTATTGGCTAATCCGATCATACACAAGATTTCTTGGCCTCAGATTTCTCATCTGCAAAATAAGGATAAGAGGGCTAATACTACCTACATTTCCCCAGGCTGTTGGGAAGAGTAAGACTAAGATTACCTGGCAGTATAACGCTTGATGAGCTCTAAGTCTTCTTCCTTCCCTCTTTGTTATTTAAAAGTAACAAAGGTCCTTCCTTACCTCTTACTTACCTTGCCAATCCTGATGTATGAATTTATAGTATCAAGTAAGTCGGCCTTTTTTTCATTTATAGGCACTTGAGCTAACTCCTTTCCTATTAATTCACCTGACTGATAGCCCATAGTTGTTTCAAATGCAGGATTTGCATACTGGTGGGGGAGACAAAAGGAAAAAAACATCAAGTGAATTAAAATAAACTGGAAAGAGGACAAAATGGTCCACATCCAAAACCATCATATTTATTCCCAGAAAGCTCCAGAGCTTGGCCTTCAATATGGAGGAAGCATACCCTAGAAAAACCTTGGAGTCCAGAGCAGTTTCTGCTCCAGTGACACCTAGCTGGGCTTACGGCCCTATTCTCCTGGGGTTCCAGGGAGGACCAACTCTCACTTAAACAATGGCAGAGGAAGAATCTGAATGGAGACTGCTACATACAATTAGGTTGTTTATGATACAATGAATAGCACCAGACTGTTGTTGTTAAGGAGCTCTGGTGGCACACTGACTAAGGCATTTGACAGCTAACCAGAAGGCTAGAGGTTCAAACCCACCAGTCACTCCATGGAAGGAAGAGAGGGCAATCTACTTCCATGAAAATTTACCACCTCAGAAACCCTATGAGTTGGAATCGACTCGATGGCAGTGGATTTGGTTTGGTGGGCAGTGGGTTTGTTACTTGCCAGGTGAATGGATTTTGACTCATAGTAACTCAATGTATGCAGAGCAGAACTGCTCCATAGGGTTTTCAAGGCTGTTACCTTTTGGAAGCAGATCATCAGGCCTGCCTTATGAGGTGCTTCTAGGTGGCTAGTAGTTGAGTGCTTAACCATTTGTACCCTCAGGGATTAACTCAGATGCTACTCTTACTCCATATACACTGTCTAACCTCCACAAGTCACTTAGCCCCTCTGAGACTCAGCCTACTCATCTGCACAATGGAAATGAAATACGTATTTTACCTATCTCACACGATTCAAATGAATTATGTATATAGAAGGCAGGGTAGGGTATAAAGTAGGAATAAAATAAGAAATAAATATAAGCCTTTATGGCTAAATTTCAAATAAGGCTGTAAGACTAGAACATGTATGGGGAAAGCTGTGCATATGCTGATGCTGCTGATAAAACAGTAACTGACACTGCTTATCAATGTTTGTTTTCCTTGCTAAGCACTACAGTAAGGACTTCACAAACATTAATCTGTTAAGTCCTCAGAACACCACTATGAAAGGCAGGTTACTATTATTATGATTCCCTTTTGTATAGACAAGGAAGCAGATTCAGATGGATTAAGTGATATGCCTAAAGTTGCACAGATCTGCCTGACACCAAAGTCTGTGCTCTCAACGAATGCCCTGTGTTGCCTCTCAGGGCACTGATCCCTGAATGGTGACACTATCAACTCAATTACCAAGAAAGGCACAAGTTTAAAGTGGAGAACTGGAGGACCCAGAACTAAAATTAAAGTGGAGTTAATTCTTCTCAGACAAAAGAACAATTTCTCTGGTACAACTCCCTTTTTAGCTGTTATCTAAAAGTGTAAGTCATGTACCTTAAGTCGCTTAAAGAAATCTACTTTGCTAAAGAGTAATTTTTCGGAAGGAAGATGGGGCAATCTACTTCCGTAGTGATACTGCCTCAGAAACCCAAGGAGGGGTCGCTATGAGTCAGGTCCGACTCGACGGCACATAACAACAACAACAACAACAACAACAAAGAGTAATTTATTCAATCATTCCTAGGTGTGTTTGTTTTGAAATTCTGAAATTATTTCTAGGAAATTTCTTTACGTGTAAACTCTTTGCACAGTGATAAATGTAAATACAAATGTATTATTTCTACTGAACATTTTTCTAGCACCTTACTATTTTTTTCTTATCTATAAGGAATTTATTTGAAATCATATATTTTATAGCTTTTGCTCTGATATTCTTCTAAGGTAAAATATTTGGTCTCTTGAAGTTCAGAAAGAAAAAATATATACATATCAGAGGTGTAGAATGCTAAAAATGAAAGCAAACAAAACAAGAAACTCGGACAGATTCCAAATTAACAAACCTGTATAATGTGGTCTTCACTTGTAATTTCAATTGCTTCTTGACTTTTCTCTAATGCAGTGAATACTGAGTTACAAGCCCTTTACAGAAAGACAAATAAAGCACTGATTAATATAAAGACTGCAGAATCAAATAGTCTTGGGATGTTGCAACATTATTTAAGTGCTGGTTTGTTTTTTGGTCTGATTATAAAGGTAATGCATATACATTCAAGAAAAGAAGGAAAGGATATTAAAAAATATAAAAAGAAACAAACATCCTCGGGGCCACTCCCTTCACCCTGGACAAGTCATCACTACTCATTAGTGATGATAATTTTGGTGTCTTTTCTTCCAATCTAAGAAGGCAGTGGGCCAGGGTGAAATGCACCTCAGGGTTCAAATCACAGTTCTTTACCAGTTGTGGGACACCTTGGGCAAATAAATGAAACTTCAAGTGTACCTTCTGACCCTTTAAGGACTCTTCATAAGGACTACGCAAGAAAATGCAATCAAATACCCTGAGGAGAGTCTGGCAGAGAGGAGGTACTCAATCGTTAGTAGCTATTATTTGAAACAAATTATTTTCACAAAATTTTGCTTGCCTGGAATGACTAGCTTTCTTCACTTGTCTTATATTATGAGCATTTTCCCATGTCCTTAGTGTCTGAAAACGTTTTACTAATGGCACAAATAGCAAATGTTTACTGAAAGAAATTAAAAAATAAAGATAAGCATCAGTAAATGAGATACCATTTCATACTCTGTGTTAGTTTTTGTCAGGTGCTGTCGAGTCATCTCTGACTCATAGCAACCCTATGCACAGCAGAGCGAAATACTGCCTAGTCCCGCTCCGGCTCCGCAATCCCTGATAAACTTGAGCCCATCACTGCAGCCACTGTGTCAATCCATCTTGTTGAGGGCCTTCCTCTCTTTTGTCAATTCTCCACCTTACCAAGCATGACATCCTTTCTCCAGGGAATGGTTCCTCCTGACAACATGACCAAAGTAGGTGAGATGAAGTCTGGCCATTATTCTCGCTTCCAAGGAGCATTCTGGCTGCACTTTCTCCAGGACAGATTTGTTAGTTCTTTTAGCAGTCCATGGTACTTTCAGCATTCTTTGCCAACACCACAACTCAAAAGCATCAATTCTTCTTCGGTCTTCTTTATTCATTGTCCAGCTCTAACATGCATATGAGGTGATTGAAAATATCATGGCTTGTGTCAGGCACACCTTAGTCCTCAAGGAGACATCTTTGCTACTTAGCACTTGAAAGAGGTCCTTCGAAGTTGACTTTCCCAGTGTAATACCTCACCTGATGTCCTGAGATTGTTGCTTCCATTGGTGTTGACTGTAGAACCAAGCAATGTGAAGTCTCTGGCAACTTCAATCTTTTCTCTGTTTATCGTGATGCTGCTTATAGATCCAGTTGTGAGGATTTTTGTTTTCTTTATATTGAGATGTAATCCATACTGCAGACTGTATTCTTCAATCTTCATCAGTAAGTCCTTCAAGTCATCCTCACTTTCAGCAAGCAAAGTTTTGTCATCAGCATATCGCAGGCTGTTAATGATTCTTCCTCTAATCTTGATGCTATGTTCTTCTTCATACAGTCCAGCTTCTCAGATTATTTTCTCAGCATATAGATTGAATAAGTATGGTGAAACGATACAACCTGATGCACTCCCTTCTTGATTTAAAATCACGCAGTGCCCCCTTGTTCTATTCAAACGACAGCCTCCAGGTCTATGTGGAATTCCCATTCTTCTCAATGTTATCCACAATTTGTTATGATCCACACCATTGAATGCTTTTGCATAGTCAATAAAACACAAGTAAACATCTTTCCAGTATTCTTTGCTTTGAGCCAAGATCCATCTAACATCAGCAATGATAGCCCTTGTTCTACATACTCTTCTGAATCCAGCCTATACCTCTGGAAGTTCTTTGTCAATATACTGCTGTAACCGTTTTTGAATTATCTTCAGTAAGATTTTATTTGCATGTGATATTAATGATATTGTTCAATAATTTCCACATTCTGTGGGATCACCTTTCCTTGGAATGGGTACAAATATGGATCTCTTCCAGTCAGTTGGCCAGGTAGCTGTCTGCTAAATCTCGTAGAATAACTGAGTGAGTGCCTCCAGTGGGGCATCTGTTTGTTGAAACATCTCAATGGATATTCTGTCAATTCCTGGTGCCTTGTTCTTTGACAATTCTTTCAGTGCAGCTTTGACTTCTTCCTTCAATACCATTGGTTCTTGATCATATGCCACCTCCTGAAATGGATGAACATCCACCAGTTCTTTTTGGTACAGTGACTCTGTGTATTCCTTCCATCTTCTTTTGATGCTTCCTGCATCATTCAATATTTTGCTCATAGAATCTTTCAATATTACAACTCAAGGCTGAAATTTTTTCTTCAGTTCTTTCAGCTTGAGAAATGCTGAAAGTGTTCTTCCTTATTGGTTTTCTAAGTCTAGGTCTTTGCACATTTCATTATAGTAATTGGCTTTATCTTCTCAAGCTGCTCTTTGAAATCTCCTGTTCAGCTCTTTTATCTTGTCATTCTTCCATTTGCTTTAGCTACTCTCTACTCAGGTCAAGTTTCAGAGTCTCTTCTGTCATCCATTATGGTCTTTTCTTCCTTTCTCATCTTTTTAATGACTTCTTGCTTTCTTCATGGATGATGTTCTTGATGTCATCCCACAATTCTTCTGGATTTCGATCATTGTGTTCAATGCATCAAATCTATTCTTTAGATGGTCTCTAAATCCAGGGGGGATATATTCCAGGTCATATTTTGGCTCCTGTGGACTTTTTTTAATTGTCTTCAACTTCAAGTTGAACTTGCATATGAGCAGTTGATGGTCTGTTCCACAATCAGCTTCTGGCCTTGTTTTGACTTTGGAAGATATTGAGCTTTTTCATCACCTCTTGCCACAGATGTAGTCAATCTGAATCCTGTGTATTCCATCCGGCAAAGTCTACATGTATAGCCACCATTTGTGTTATTGAAAAAATGTATTTGCAATGAATAAGTCACTGGTCTTGCAAAATTCTATCATGAGATCTCCAGAATTATTTCTGTCACCAAGGCCAAATTTTCCAACTATCAATGATTCTTCTTTGTTTCCAACATTTGCATTCCAGTCACCAGTGATAATTAACACATCTTAATTGCATGTTCGGTCCAATTTCAGACTGCAGAAGTTGATAAAAATCTTCAATTTTTTCTCATCTTTGGCTTTGGTGGTCGGGGCATAAATTTCAATAATAGTTGTATTATTAACTGGTCTTTCTTGCAGGCATATGGACATTATCCTATCACTGTAGCATTGTACTTCTGGACAGATCTTGAAACATCCTTTGTAATGATGAATGCCACACCATTCCTCTTCTAATTGTCATTCCTGGCATCATAGATCGTATGGTTACCTGATTCAAAATGGCCAAAATCGGTCCATTTCAGCTCACTAATGCCGAGGATATCAATCTCTGAGTATTCCATTTCATTTTTGACAACTTCCAGTGTTCCTAGATTCATTCTTCATATACCCCATGTTCCGATTATTAATGGATGTTTGCAGCTATTTCTCCTAAAATTGAGTCATGCCATGTCAGCAAATGGAGGTCTTAAAAGCTTTACTTTATCCATATCAGTAAGGTTGGTCCTACTCTGATGATGCAGCTCTTTCCTAGTCGTATTCTGAAAGCCTTCTGACCTAAGGGGCTCATCCTCCTGCACTGTATCAGATAATGTTTCTGGGCTATCACGAAGTTGCATAGTAATGTATTAGACAGTGTTTCTCTGCTATTCATAAAGTCTTCCCTGGCCAATTCTTTGAGCAGTGGATGGCCTCTTCCTTCTTCCTAGTCTCTCTGTCTGTAAGCTGCATTGAAACCTGTGCACCATGTGCAACCCTGCTGGCAACTGAAACACCGGTGGCACAGCCTCAAGCCTCATGGCAACATGCAAGCCACAACAGTATGACAAACTGAAAGACAAGTTTGTCTCCCTTAGCTGATCGAAACCTCTTCACCCTCTCCTTACCTGGCTGGATCCCTGGCACTGTTCTGCTCTGTCGTCCCCTCTGGCTTCGCTTTCCTCTGCTTTTCTGCCTGTTGGGAGTGGGGCCTGGTCCCTCCCCTTACCAACAATCATGAGTGGATAAACAAAATGTGGAATATCCATATAATGGATTATTATTCAGCCATGAAACAAAATGAAGTACTGATGTATGCTATGGTCTAGATGAATCTTAAAAAAAATTATGCTAAGTAAAAGAAGCCAGACACAAAAGGTCACTTATTGTATGATTCCATTTATATAAAATATTGAGAACAGGCAAATATATGAAGACAGAAAGTAGGTTAGTGCTTACCTAGGGCTGATGGAAATGGAAGAAATAGAAGGATTGGAAAGTGATGGCTAAGGGGTGCAGAATTTGGAGGTAACGAAAATATTCTAAAATTATTTTGTGGTCAGGGATGCATAACTCTGTGAATATACTAAAAGCCACTGAATGTGTGCTTTGAATGGGTGAATTATGTAGCATGTGAATTATATTTCAATAAAGCTGTTAACAAAATAAATGAGCTCAAATGATGTGAAATCTCAACACCGAGTCATATCAGTTAGTGCTCTAGATATTATCTTATGTAAATATGTATCATATATATATATATATATATATATATATACATATATAAAATCTACCATGTGCTACAGTATTGTTTTAAGATGTAAACTTTTAAATCTTTTATTCAAGTTTTTTTTTTTTAAATTGGCACTTTTTTACTCATGTAAAATCTTCATGTTTATAAAGAGGTATAACCACAGATAAAATGACGTAATACGTGGGATTTGTTCCAAAGTAATCCAGAAGGAAATAAGCAGGTAGAACAAGAAATGAAACAAGATTGGCCATGAACTGATACCTGTGGAAACTGGTGGGTGAGCACTTTGCAATATAGTACATGATTCTACTCCTGTTTGAAACTTTCCATAATCAAAAGCTAAAAAATATTACAACCAAAAAGCCTTGAGAAACATAACTGTTACACTCTCTCCATATGTGCTTCAGTTTTATAAC